CTCCAGAATGCGCACCAGTTTTGTGGTCGTGAACCATGGACGTGAACCTTCTAAAGCCTGTCACCAACTGTTGTATGGCTACCGTGGTATTCGTTGTGCCTTTTGAAAGATAGACGTGTGCATGACGTTCTTCTTCTCCCTCTACTGACTCCATACTTTAATTTTGAACATTACGCTCATAAACACGTCTTTGTCCGGTGACAGGAAGTCGGACAAGCGGCGTACTTAAATACACGACCCCCACCCGTTGATTCACTGCACTAATAAACAACTATGGCCGGTTATGATCTGCTCGAGATCGATCCTCAGCTTAGTGAAATGCCAGACGAAAAAAGTAAGCACCTTCCTTGCAACATGTGAAATACAAATAAATAATTAAATAATATTGCCGTTCATCGATAATGCTACCGGCGTTATAGTAAAAACGTCGATAATGAAACATGCATTATTTTTGCCTGAACTAGTTTCGCGCCCTCACCAACAGATCAAGAAATTGCCTGAAAAATGAATATTCTATAAAATATAATATGAGTGGTATGAACATCATTTCAGCATGAATCTCAAGCAGGCGTTAAGAAGCTGCAAATAGTGAAGTTAAGGAAGCTAACAATAAATATAAACTTTTGTTAAATAACTGTTGAATAACCTATTTATTACTTTTATCGAACTATTGTAATGAACGGGTTTTCGCCATGGTAATGTAGGGCGCTGACAGATGCTTTCTAATAGAAAGCCGTGACTACGTTCTAAGGTACGTGAGCATTATCATGTGTTTTTAAAAAGCAGCGACATTGAAACAGCGAGACATTAAATTTAACGGATTATAATGGATTTAGAACTTAAGGCAAAGTTAAGGCACGAAGATATCCAAACCTCCATTTTTGTTTCTCTGATATTATCATCAATATATAAAATTATAGTTTCGGTCTCTCATTCTTTATGTTAGCAAGCCGTTATTCTTAATTCAAAGAGTAGAACAATGATGAAAAGTTTTCGTCACGCCTTCTTCTTTGGTCAATGCAGGATAGTAACCCTTAGGGTAAGTGACATTCTTTCTCCCCCGACATTCAATGACGTGGATTCTATCAAGTGTAAATGTAAGAACGTTGTTAACCGGCCGCTTTTGGATTCATCCTAAACTTGCACTAGCATCGTATGCATCAGAGGTATGCGCTTCAACCTACATTTTCCTATAGTGTAGTTCCATGGTCCTGGTTCTTTCATTCTGAGCTCTCAACAACGAAAGCGTGAAGGTAGGATTATAGATTTGTCGTTCTGATCCCCATTCAGAATATTCATATTTGAGGGCAGTTGCTTGAATCAGAATAGTCTTCTTCGTTTCTACGGCTCCATGTAATGATTGCCACTTTCTGCTAAGCATTAGAGATATCGTGAAGCAAAGTTACATTTCGTCTTATTGGAGTATGAATGACATTCGTTGCTGTATCCTAAAGAAGGTCGTCTTTGTAGTGTCCTCCGCATTTCCTTTAATTCCTGCGGTTAAACGGTTTATCTGCTAAGAGGGCATACCTGCAAAATGAGGTAGAAAGATCAGAGTTTCGATCCCTTGAACTTATATTACGAGGCCAAATCAAAGACCCGCAAGGCGAACTCTCGTAACCAAACTATGACGAACTGGCTTTGGAACTAGATTACTGGGTACAGATTATACAGATGACCTAAGTTTTAAAAGCCACATCTTTGGTTAATCCGTTTGATTGTTTCCTTTGCTGGCTGAAAGAAATCAACAAGCCGTGATAACGAATGTATGGAAAAGCAAATGATTGGATGAATGACTGAATACAATGCATCAATGAGTAGATTTTATTATGCCTTATCTTGAAATCAAGCGAATGAGTAGCGATAATGAGAAATCAATCTAGCCGTTTACTGTTCGGCTGATTTCAATGAAATCGATGCTAGGTCTAATTTATCGAAACAATCTAAAATAATTTATTAAAACGGTAATGAGAATTATTGTTTGTTTAAAACACATTTAGCACAATTTAATTTAACAACTTACAATCCACGGTATCGAGGCATGTGAATCAATCTAACAACTCAGAGACACATTGAGAGATAAATGCTAATGTATACTACTCTTAAACGAAGCCAGATAATGGAGAAGAGCATTTCTGTTTCATCATAGAATTTTATACATCGTTTCTCGTTGCATCAGTTATAAAGTAGAATATTAAAATTTGCGTATTTTTCTGTAATCATGGTTAACTTTAAGTCTTTTAAGAGTTTTTGTCTGTGGAAGATGTAGGCAGTTATGAAATCAGGGAAAGCATAACTTAGTCAGGATTATATTTTACTGCTGATTGCCCTAACCCGCTGTTGTTAGGTGCTACAGGGAGTAGGAGAGTATAAAAAGTCCACGACTCAATGGTGTCTACGTCTTTCGTTAAACGAACACATTAAGATGTTTATGCGATAGCACATGAGGAGTACCAGCTCCTAATGCATTGCACGTATTGAATGTGAGACGGCTCCAGCGAACAAAATGATGCGAGGTGGACCTGGAACTGCAAGTGCTCAAAAATGCAGGTTGGACAGATTAAATGGCTCTCGGCAACTTGGGGCAAAGTGGCAGTGCATTCTGCAGTGAAACCTGGTCTTGGATGAGTTTCGCGATATTTAACCACTCCGGCATACAGGCATATGTTAATGTTTATGCAGTCAGGTGGAACGACAGACTCTATCGACCATATTAATACCATTTAAGCCATGATCAATATTCTGATCGTGCTGTCTATCACCTCGCGCAAGACGATTCATCGACTGGATCGCAAGGAAGTCCATGCACCATGGATAAATAACATTAAGGAATGATGAATGCCATTCATGTCATTTCGATGGTCGGAACTGGCAAAATTCACGGCAGACATGTTGTCACAAAACCGTCATCACACCGTCATACCTCTAAATGGAAGA